CTGTGCTACGTTACGCTACATTACGCTACGTTACTGAAACCGGGTAAATCGTGGGCTCTGCTAGGAGGCTTTGTCTCGAAAATCTTCTTTTATACATAGGCTCTTAAATGAGCTTCCCCAAAAATATATGCCGAGGTACACGATCTTGTTCTTCTACGTACACTTTCAGTGCAGACAGTTCATCACCTTTTGTTCGCCCAGTGAATAAGTACGCGCCGCGGTGACCGAATCCAAAAAGCCTAAAATCCTCAACAGGTCCACACACCATCATGTCAAGCAGGCACCAACACTCATCCGCTCCACGAATGCAGCACAACATTCCACCCCACACGGACGCGGCTGGCGGTAGCCGGACAGTGGCGGCGGCCCGGCCAGCCAGCTGTGACCAGCGCTCGCGCCGACCGGGGCCGCCGTCGCCGCCGGCCGCTGCGCGTGAGAGCGCGGCGTGACCCGAGATCGTGCGCGACGTCACGTGACGGCGCTTCGGCGGCGTCCGTGGCCAGCGCGGCGCCGTGACCTCTGCGACCTGTGCCAGGGTGTGGCCGGCGGGACGATGCTGTCCCGTGCCGGTCGGAGGTGGCATAGTCTAGACGGATGGGGCCAAGTCCCTAACGGAAAATTGTGGCCGAGCGAAAACTAAAGCATTCGATGAGACACGCTGCGCTGAGGCAGGACGAGCCGCAGTCATGCCTCGTGGATCGGACGCCCGACCGCGGTCTAGGGCAGGACGAGCCGCAGTCCTGCCTCCTGGGGCCGGACGCCCGACCGCGGTCTAGGGCAGGACGAGCCGCAGTCCTGCCTCCTGGGGCCGGACGCCTGACCGCGGTCTGGGGCAGAGCGAGCCGCAGTCCTGCCTCGTGGATCGGACGCCTGACCGCGGTCTAGGGTGGGGCGAGCCGCAGTCCTGCCTCGTGGGCCGGACGCCTGACCGCGGTCTAGGGAAGGGCGAGCCGCAGTCCTGCCTCGTGGATCGGACACCTGACCGCGGTCCAGGGTGGGGCGAGCCGCAGTCCTGCCTCGTGGGCCGGACGCCTGACCGCGGTCTAGGGCAGGGCGAGCCGCAGTCCTGCGGGGTGTCTCCGCATCAGAGCCGGCGGCCGTCATGATCTGGCGCCCCGCCAGAGCAAAGTGGGCTCATCAACATGCCAGGCAGCCGCATCAGACTCTGCATCTCAGAGCGGGCACAAACACATCGCACAGTCGACCCGTCTGCAGGGCGGGCGTGCAGCGCCGCAGCCAGCGGCCGCGCTTCTGCAAAAGCAGCGACCAGGGCAATCGCCTGCAGCACAGTTGTTTGATCAGACTCGCCAGAAGGCGATGCCGTTTGATAGTCAACTTATTATTCCAAACACTGCGGCCTTATAGGGATATTGAACACGAGAAATGCCGAAGATTATACAACACGTTATTCATTTCCATCTCCGCGCGGTGATTCAAACACGCGCCGTGCTTGTTCAATACGCTCCACCAGTAGCTCGCTGCGTCCTCCGACTGAGCGTCGACTTTCCAAACCCCGTCAATCATCTGACTGTTCCTTGTCCAAACTACGGTCGGCCGATTTGGGGATATTCCCATCCGCGTGGTTCTATCCGGCGCCTTTCACCATGGCGGCCACGGTGAGCGCGGCCTCCGCTGCCACCGCTGGCCGGCCTGGCGTCCCGGCGGCGGGCAGGCTGGCCGGCCGGTGGGACGGGTCCCCCGGCCTCCCCTCCCCCTCCCCAGAGTGTCGGCCGCAAACCGGTACACGCTTGGAGGCTTCAAGGAAGGGCCGGCCTCTCCAGCGGCCAGCGTTCGTGACCGGCGGGGGAAGGCGGGGCGTGACTCGCGACACACTCGTGAGGTCACTGACTCGTCTGGATCTTTGGCTTGTGATTCGCGAGTCACACCGCACTGGCTCGCTGGATTTGGAGACTGAGCAAACGCCCACAAATGCTCGTGACTTGTGACCGACTCGTGGCCGAGCAGTGAACAGGCCCTGGCCGCTAACTGGACGCGGCACCGCGCCACCGTCCTCAACCGGTCGTGACTGCCGCGTGACCACACGGGTCAGAGTCGTGACTCGTGACTCGCTCGTGAGACGACCACCGCCCATGGCGCCAGCGTGACCGGTTCCCGAGATGGCGACGCCGCTCACTTGATTGGTCGGCCAGCCGCAGGGCCGCCGCTGATAAGGTTTCGTTTCACCATTCCGCCTCAGTTGGCGGCTCGTAAAAGAAGACGGACTGGTGGGCTGGCGCAGCCGGCGGGCCGCCGGACCGGCCGGCCGGCCGCCGCCGCCGCCGCCGCGCCCGCACGCCATTAGCTCCGGTACCGTTACGTCCCGAGAGTCTGGCTCGCTCCGATCGGACCTGCTGCATGCATTTATAAGCGCACGCGACGATAAAAAAACGGAAAGCTGCTGAGGGCGCTAATCGGATATGTTTCATCCAGTTGTGTATGTGTATCAGCGCTGGCGTGTCACAGTACTGATGCAGTAAATTTATTACGCGATGGTAGTGCGTTGCATGCCGTCAAGCTGCGATTAGTGCTGACACTTTACCGATACCGTCAGGGAAAGTAAGCAAAACAAAAAAGCTCTGGTCGCGGGCCCACAGAGTGCTTTGGAACAAGCAGCACGAACACTTGCGTGAGCGAGAAAATGGTAGCAATTAATTCCGGAGCAACAGCCCGGCATAATTAAGTCCGCCGGCCGAACGCGCCGGAACCTGTGTGCGCGGCTTTGAAAGCCAGCTGTCGTCGGCCTGCGGTCAGCTGACTGCCGTCATAGGCGCCGCCACGCTGAACCCTGATTCCGGGCGGCGGGTCGCAACCCCGTGCGACCCTTGACCCGACTTGGCTGGCGCCGCCGCCAGCCGGCTACAAAGGACCAGCCGACGGTATAATGAATGGGACGAGCGCGCGATGGGAGGCCCAGGAAAACAGCGCTCGTCAATGCAAAACTGTATGCCGCCTGGCCGGGCCGGGATATACAGCTAACAATGCCCCGGCGTTGACAATGGTGCTGCTAGACTTAGGCCATGAGGAGGAATCTGCATAGAGGTCGAGGAGAATGGGGCGGATTTTTCCGGGGTGCCCTTATGGCTTGATGTGCAAAGTGTGCTGGGCTCAGAAGATGTACAGCCATGATCTTTCAATCATGCATTCGGTTTTCTACCCGTGTATATAACTGTTCTAATGCCTGCCGAACGCTATAACCATGCTTGGCCAGAAGAACAAGATCTGGAAGGAGACTTCAACACGTTCGACTCCAAACATCGAAACTTCAGCTGAGAACAGCAACGTAACACCACAGAACCAGGACGGAAACCTCCGCCTCGTTCTCAGCATGCAGCTAGTAGCTTTCTATCACGACTCGGGAGTGAAAAGTCGAACAATGACTTCGATCGATTCGGTCTGATACGGCGCCGGCAGTGTTGCAGAATCCCGGCGGACGTGACCACGCCCTGACCACCAGCCGCCCCCTCCCCCTCCCCATGCCCTCCGCCGCCGAAGTAAGCCAACGCCCGCCGTTGGTCGCGTCGGCGGCGGTGCTATGCAGGCTGGGAGCAGGGCGGCCATCGGCCGGGACCGCCGGAGGGCGGCGGGCACCGCGCATGGCCGCTCCAACAAACACGGGGGAGGGAGGCGCCGGGACGGCCGGCGGCCGCGGCGCCTCTAACGAGGGGAGGCGGGCCACCGCGGCCGCGCGCCGGTCCCAGGCCGTGACTGCGCCCCAGACAGCGGCACTAATGGCGCACTGAACTGCGCCACCACTGTCGCACTTGCACAAGAGCGACGCGGCGCGGCGGCTTTCGTGGCGCACGGTGGCGCGCATGGTCTCCGGCGCGCCGCCGCGGGCGCCCAGCTGTGGCGGGC